TTGTATTAGTACATATCGTATTAGTACACACTGTATTAGTACACATTGTATTAGTACATATTGTATTAGTACACATTGTATTAGTACACATTGTATTAGTACATATTGTTTTAGTACACACTGTATTAGTACATGTTGTATTAGTACATATTGTATTAGTACACATTGTATTAGTACATATTGTATTAGTACATATTGTATTAGTACACATTGTATTAGTACACATTGTATTAGTACACATTGTATTAGTACATATTGTATTAGTACACACTGTATTAGTACACATTGTATTAGTACACAAATGTACTAATACAATGTGTACTAATACAATATGTACTAATACAATGTGTACCTAATACAATATGTACTAATACAGTGTGTACTAATACAATATGTACTAATACAATGTGTACTAATACAATATGTACTAATACAACAATACTTACTCAGAAAGACTAAAGGCATGAGTAGATATAACTTCTAGAACCTGCGAGAGCCTCGTTTCAGTAGATGCTGTGTCTGGACGGGAAACCACAGGTTCATCTTCTGCATCCCAACATTCCACTGTAACCAAGAAGATCGAATATGTAAACTTAATTTGCCTTAACGTCTCTAAACTATCTAAACTAACAAAAAGTGTACATTAACTATTGGAGTATTGCTCTCACGATTTAGTAACTCATCCATAGTGGCAAGTTGAAAGACGTTAATAATATGGAATAACACCTGTGTACATGAAAACAGCGGAGTAGACCAACAAACTCGCGAATAATATAGAATTAGTAGAGACCCGCAAAACATGTGCGGTCAAACTATTATCTTTATTGCTATAGTACTTCTTTAAATACAGGATTTCTAGAATAATACAAAATCACAGACACCAGAATCCATTAATCCACTTGTCTTAGGCCTAACATTAACTAAGCCTTTATTAAGTACGGTCTATCTATATAATAAAAGGGCATGTCCGTGTGCTTGTGACCGCCATAGCTCCAAGAGGAAAAAAACCTAGAAACCTGAAATTTTGCACCCATACTAAGTAGTCCCTGAGGATGTGCACCTGGTTGTTATTATTTATTTTAACCACATGCGTTCCGCGCATGCGCGCCCCATAGTATACCCTGTAGTATATCAATTAGATTAACGACAATGCGTTCCAACAATGGCTTTTATGCCATGTTGCTCAGCAAAAAAAGTATAACCTAATATTGTTGTTAGTCTATGTACTGAAAGTATAAAATGAAATGTATAGACAAACAAAACTGGAAAAATATTTGTTGATTTCTTAACTTAAAGTCTCCATTGATTAAAAAAGTTTGCTTTTTATTACAAACGTTGGTGATATAACAGAAAATAGCTTCATTCAGAAAAGATATAAGTTTAAAATTGGATCGATATTTTTACTTTCGTGATACATTTTATGCACTTGGCTCCAGGCTTATCTCACACTACGTCTTTACTTTAGGTTTATTTATTGATTTCTTTAAGTCATACCAACATTCATTAAACTTACAAGGTTTCACGATCCCCTTATACCCCCGTCACTAAAATCGTAATGAATGCTAAAATTGAAACAGAAAAGCTGCGATTCATTCGCAGAAACCAAAAGAAGCTCCGTGTTAAAGACTATGTCCTCTAGCGGGATGCTAAAATACGTTCAGAATACACACACTGACATCTAGAATATATCAACCTAATAACCCGAGCGAAGCCAGGTACTTTCGCTAATATTCAATAAAGAGACGTTTTTTGCTTTCGTTTAGTTAGGACTAAACTTTACCGTACTTAACACTATCAATAAATAAACTTCTAACGTTAGATCTTTGCTGAACTTTAATATGTTGTTATACAAAATATCTCCGAAAGTATATTTACATCTGCATGCCCATTTAGATAACAAGGTGCGCGCGCATTTTCAGGACAGACCAAACTGAGTATTATTATAATAGATAATACTTGTCTATATATATATTGAAACAGCGGAGTTTATTTACGCATGGAAGTGAACCAATAATTTTAATGTAAGTTCTTTTTTTTTATAAAGAACCAAACAACTAAACTAGCGCCAGGTTTTAAGTAACCATGGTGCTCAAATTCGATGATGAGGAACCCACTTTGAGATTAATAATGCTTGGGGACGTCAGTGTAAACTACTTGTACCTGATGACGACAACACCTTGTCGAAACGTTGTACATTTGCTATAACGTTAAACTTATATTAAAGTTCTTCTTCATTACCCATTCGAGCCGTTTCCAAGCATTATTAATTATGGTGTTCTATCATTTAGAACAGTAGTACTTAATAGTAGGGAACGAAACAAAATGATGGCCATAAAAATCGCCAGTTTAAAACCACCTTTAAGATGCCTGAATATTAACAATATTTAAAATTAAAAATATATATATAATGATTTGCCAACATAGGAATAGAATTTGTTAAATTTTAAGTAACTCAGCTTTTGAAGTTTTGGCTTTCTTGTTTCAATACTTTTTTGTAGCATTAAAACTTTATATAGTTCTATAGCTACCTAGGTTATGTACATATCGATCCCTTCTTGTCTTTATAAAATTTAAAGATTTTGTAGTATACTTGTAATTAGTAAAAAAACTGAAGAACGTAAGAGGGTAACTGAGCAAATAGTACAAACAATATTTAGCCTTATTGAAAAAAAATCCTTGTTATTGAGCCTCGATGAGGCATTGGCTTTTAAAATTTAGAAAACTAGTTGCAAGATCATACATAATTAATTCCCTGCGTAGAGAAACTACCTTTTATCATTCAGACATCCATGAGAAACATTAAGAACTATATTTAACGTAAAAGTGGATAGGACAAGCATGCTATTCACTGTCTGCAATCATTTTATATACATATACTGCGTGTCACTCTCTCTCTATTGTAAAATCGAATGACAAATTTGATTTCAAGATGGTTACCATTTTGAAGTAATTTGGAATAGCTTGTCACTTGCTTGTCGAATTTAATTTACATCTGGCTAGAGGTTTGAGTTATTTTCGGTATAACCCCCCCCGGAGGAATCACCATTTATTTTATTCTGACTGTATGAAGCAATAAAAGAAAAAAAAAGCAGTAGTAACATCATAATACAGAAAACCTAAGTATGGCGGAATTCAGAAAACAAAGTAATTTAGATTAAATATAAAAAGAAACTATTTGAAGATTTAAATTGCTTCAAACTTTATAGTGAGAATGGCCTGAAGTTCAAATATATTTCAGACAGAGCACTAAAAGTAATTTTTGGTGATATCGAAACTTTCGTGTGTTTGCCTTTTAACATAACGCGGTTTGAGCTTCGATCGTGCATTTTCCAATTCTTATGGTGTTTGTCATCCTTTCTCAGAACTGTAAGGTTTTTTCATGAGTTTTTCTTTTCTCCTGTGTGTTTTGGTGTCTTCAAACTACAGATATTGAACAGAAATTTCTTCTATTTTTATCTGGAAACTTCCAACAACAACAAACAGAAGCTCATGCAGCAAAAACCATTCCTTCACATAAAGTAAATAACGTTCACTAACATTCTATATAACTATTTTACTTCGTATAAATAATACTACAGAACGAAAAAGACTAACTAAGAGAATATATTCTGTTTCTAGACGTAATAAAAACCTAACAGTGTATCTTTCTGTTCTTGTTAATGAGTACATGATGGAAATCCATCCAATATTCAATAATCAATCAGTTATTATCAATCGTATCAAAACATTTGGGTAAATGTATTTTTACAGACTTTTCTAAATTTTTCCAGCAATAAATAAACCAGATCAACCAGTTAAAAAAACAAGGCATAAAAAATGAAACTGCCTTTCTTTACATCATTTCTGTATACAAGTTTAAACTACACTGAACATTCTAGAAGTTTGTTGTTCTGTTCCATAAGCAATATGTACTAATACAATGTGTACTAATACAATATGTACTAATACAATGTGTACTAATACAATATGTACTAATACAATGTGTACAAATACAATATGTACTAATACAATGTGTACTAATACAGTCTAATCTGATAGCAGACTAAGCACTCATGAGGTAATACTAATAGTGACCTGTGTGAGGGGCTTCAAGAGTCATCTTTTACCTGGAGTACTTTGAGTGATCATTCGAGCATTAGCTAGTTGTTAAATGTAAATAAACGTAAAAACAACCGTTAACACTGGAAATACTTATATTCGAATAAATATTCCAACTAAGTCTATACTATAAAAACACTATTTATACTACATAACCTTACCGCAAGTACTTAAATATTGTGTGTACAATACATAACCTTACCGCAAGTACTTAAATATTGTGTGTACAATACATAACCTTACCGCAAGTATTTAAATATTGTATGTATAATACATAACCTTACCGTAAGTATTTAAATATTGTGTGTACAATACATAACCTTACCGCAAGTATTTAAATATTGTATGTATAATACACAACTTTACCGGAAGTACTTAAATATTGTGTGTACAATACATACCCTTACCGGAAGTACTTAAATATGTATAATACATAACCTTACCGTAAGTATTTAAATATGTACAATACATAACCTTACCGTAAGTATTTAAATATTGTGTGTATAATACATAACCTTGCCGCAAGTATTTAAATATTGTATGTATAATACATAACCTTACCGTAAGTACTTAAATATTGTGTGTACAATACATAACCTTACCGGAAATACTTAAATATTGTATGTACAATACATAACCTTACCGGAAATACTTAAATATTGTA